AATTCCAGTTCCATTCTTCTTCTTCCCATGTTAAGCCAGCGTCTGGCCAAGCTTTAAAAAAGGGGGAATTAATTTTTAATTAACTTTTTTTGCACTTTCATCTCCAACAAAAACTACCCCAACATTTATTTACAAAGTTGTGTCCAAACCGAAGAATATTTTCCTTTTTAATTTGGAAAAATAGTTTAAAAAATTATCTAGTAATTTGATTATTTCATCTTGTTGTTATTGAATTTATGGATGAGGTAATTTATGACGAGAAAAGAAGACCATCCAAGTCCGAACGTTCGTATTGAGGAGTACACTCATGGCGATGATGGTGGCTTGAAAAAGATCACAATTTTGCGGTCAGTTTTTTCTTTATATTCATTTTTAACATCTATGTAGTAGCAGCTAAATCTTCATCAGTTAATCTAAGCATCTTTTAACTTGCAGCACTATTTGGTTTACTAAAGTATCAGTTAGACTGTAGTTTTCTGGAGAACTTTTATTAGACACGTCCAAACATGGCAGAAGTTGGGTTAATAGTAAACAATGGTGATTCCAAGTTACTTGTTCGAAAACTGGAACAAGATTAGATAATTCATTTTCATTATGCATTAATTATATTTATGGAAAAAAAAAAAAGTTAAATCTCAACCTTAAGGGTCCCCCACCGTCCCGCCCCTGGAGCATCGCGGAATGTGTCCCAACAGGTCAGGGAATAAGAACTGTTTGTACACTGGTGTCCACAAAGAGTCTCAATTCATGTTTCAGGAATCGAACCCTTACACTACGACTGCCAGCAAAGTTGAGTATACATCATTCTTATCCTTTGCACCATCGAGATATGCCCTGGAGGACTAATTATATTTAAGAAATGTATCTTGTCTGGAGTTCTTATTCATACTATGCCACATATTGCAGTAAAACACAGAAGCTTTATTTCCCAACTCAATAAATTAGTAGAATCCTGTTGGAGTAAATAAGATATTGATGGGGGTGGAATTTAGGTTGGCTTATCATTACTCCTTACCCATTACAAAAATCTCATCAATGAAATTTCAGTTCAAACAAAGGGTAGGGACATTTTAAAGGTGTTTGTTTGTCTTGACGTGATTTGCAGAACATGGGGATCATGGACAGACACCATGATTAATCTCTCTTTGTAGATCCATTTCAGATATATATATATATATATATATATAATACTTGTCCCTCATGCAAATAATTGAGCCATGGGTTTCCCCCATTTTACGTACTTGAAAAAAAAGGTTGAACCCCAATTTTGAGAGTGTCTAACGTCTCGTCCCTAGAGCCTTGTAAGGAATGTAAATCGCGGGATGTGCCCCATCAGGCCAGGGAACAAGAGCTGTCCGTACACTACGTCTACAAAGAGTCCAATTTCAAGTCTCAAGAATAGAATTCCCACACTGCGACTACCAGTAAGGCGTGAAATAACTTCACTCCTATCCTTTGCACCATTGAGTTATACCCCATTTTACTTGTCTTTTACCTACCATAGGTTCTGTAATAAAATGTCTTCAAATTTTGTTTGCCTTCTCTATTTAGGAATGCTCTACTTTAAACAGTGACAAAAAATTGTCCTTTGTTTTCTCAAAATATTGCCGTCTGCCTAGTTTTCACGTACTCAGAACCAAACAAATTTAAGGTCATGCCTATACAGGATGCACAACGTTCGACAACCTACCAAGGAGCTCCAACCAAACAAAGTTTGGACGATCGGACTCTTTATTTTTAAGAGCATCTTGAAATTTGCAAAGATTTTATAATTGTCAATCAATTTAAATGTAATTTAAATAAGGGTAATTATATTGGAGTTGAGATTGCAGTCCAAAATTAACTATCCTACTTGCTGTCCACCGAATGATTTATTGACACATTATTTTAAATTAACATGTCCAAATTTTCTTTCACCGCCACGTGTGTTTAAAAATAAGTATAAAATGATGTGTCAATGAATCATTAGGTGGACAGTTTGGATAGGTAATTTTAGACAACATATCTCAACTAATTATGTTGATACCACAATTTTTTGTTGTTACACCACATTTTTAATTGCAGTTAAGATCTCCAATCTTTGCTCTTTATAATAATAATTTCCTTAACTTTTTTTCTATCGAATTCTTATCTTCAACTTTTCTTTAACTAGTACTTCTCGTCCTTGATGATAGTTTATATTTTATTTTCATGCTTCGAAATGAAGGAAAAATATTTTTTGCTTATTTTTTCCTATTTATTTTTTAAAGATATGATTAAAAAATAGAATTAATCTATTTGTACCAAATGTCTTACCTAATTTTTGACCGAATTGACATGTGGCGCCCCCTATTGGAGGGGGTGCCTGTCCACTCGAATAAGGGCGCGACACTTGTCAATTCGGTCATCTATTTGGTAAATGATTTGGTACATATAGCATCTCCCTAAAAAATAAGTTATTTTATGCCATTTCAATGGACTTTTGAACATAAATTTGTTATCAAATATGAAATACGCTAACTAATAGAAAACTTGAGGATAAAATGACATGAAATATAGTCATGGACATAAGGGCTATAATGAGCAAATATTAATAACTTCAAGTGCAATTAAAATATGGTGTAAGAAATAAAAATTAATGTGGCGTAAATATAATTAGCCTTTGAACAATTTAAGAAATAGAGCATTGAACTCTTTAGCTTATTAAATGTAATTATTGCAAATTTTGAATATAGACAGTATTTGAATTTTCAAATTTGAAGAACTAAATTACTCTCTATGTTAAAAAGTTAAAATAGACAGTCACCAAAAATTTATTTTTAAAAATTGACTTTATAAAGATGTTTAGAGAGTATCTTGAAGAGGCATATCATCAAGGCAATATTGGATACTCGATTCAACTCTACTTGTGCTACAAACCTCCTCTACAATAGTTCAAACTTTTAGAAGACGTGATTAGTATGTGTTTACTGTATGTCCCTATTCGTAAGAAGTTGTTTAAGAAAATTTAAATCTTGGGATGCCCTTTATCCACCAAATGTGGGACAGTTACATAGACCTTAATTTCTTAAAGGTTGAGGGGCTCACATGGGAGAGGAAATACCAAAGAGGTAGGTAAGAGTTTTTTTAGGACAGCCCTACCCCCACACATGAGTGACGAGTCTTGTTCTATACCTAAGCACGTGATGAGTTGGCTGTCACCTTACCATCTAGTTTAGACATGATTACCAATTCGACGCTATGGCTATGAATTTAAAAACATTGCCCAAATTAATCTATATTTCCCTTTCCATTATTATCTTCCCTTGGCGGTGTAATATGCATTTTAGGACAGATCCAAGTTGGGATTAAATACTTTTAACTCCCCCAACCCCTACACCCAATTGACCTAACTATTTGTTGTGACAAGTCCCAATCCAAGTAAATACAAGAATTGATAGGACAAGAATTAAAATCCTACAAGTTAGGTGTATATAAATTACACACATATTATTGAAAGGATACATAGAGCTTTTTTTTACAGAGATCTTACCGACCTCTCACATGAAGTCGGTCCCACGTGGGCCCCGATGTAGTAAAAAATGAAAAAAAAAAATTTCGATCCCACCCCTTTGTGAGAACCTTGTAAGGGTTCTGTAATGTGCTGGACTGTACGCCCAACACTGCCCTTATTGAAAAGGTTATGGATAGATTTTGAATATTTTTCCATACTTGGGTTGATTATTAATTGTGAACATGTGGTATGTGGATAAGCTTAGCCGGAGTAGTATTTTTCATTATTTTGCAATTTCCCTTTTCGGATGGGAAGATAATATACGTGTGGAAATAAAATCATGAACCGTGCCAATAATTCAACATCAAAGGTGGAGCCATTTTTGAACCGTAAGGAAAAAAGGGTATGTAAAATACACGCACGAAATTATACAAGTGGATGCCTGCCTCTCTAAAATTATCAAAAACCAGACTGATGGCCGCAGATAACGATCGCGATCATAGGTACAAGTTGTTCCAAATGTTATTTTCTTGATATGGTACACAGATATATTACAAAATTTAATTTTATACAAATAACATATCAGAATATGCAAAAATAAATGAAATTTCAATTTATGTTGTCTATCTATGAAAAATTATGCACATATCAATATTTTGATTAAAAAAAATTAATCAGAGTAATTTGTTTGAACTTAAAATTTATATGTGGTAATTAAACCTTCCCAGCACTAAACCTATAAAGAAGAAGAAAAGAAAAAAGAAAGTGGAAGGTGAAGAAAAAGTTAAGATACAACTATAACCACAACCACACTCATTTCCTTGACTTTTTTTTTTTTTCTTTATCATCCTATCTTGCACCCAACTCCCAACCCTTCTAGAAGCCCTAACAATCTATTAATATTATGCATGTTGGTGCGCCAATAGAATAAAGCAAGTATCTACACTAAGGAAAATAAAAACCGCCAAAATCTCAATCACAAACTAACGTAATTTTCAAAATATCATATATTTCCTTATCAAAACAATATTCCCACTTTCTTGATTCTAAAGTTGAAATTTACTTTTAAATCTACTTTTCCTTTACATGTTTATGCATGGGATTTTTCACAATTTTATGCTCGCACTTTAACCTAACAAATTATGACAAAATTAATTATTTCTATTCATGGATTTTTAAGGTGGTTTGTTAGAAACATCTGATATTAGTATGGGTGATTCTGGTATACATCGTACATCAGGTTGGGAAGATTTTGGGTCCAAAATTATATAAAAGAAGGAAGGTAAGAGATAGTTCCTTGTCCTTAACTTCTATACTTTAATTTAATACCTTACTTTGCACCCACCTAAAGGTTACCAACTATAGTTTATTTACTCGCTTTCACTTTTACTTATTTTAATGTATATGGTATTTGTATGAATTAATGATGATGTTATAATCATCAATAGATGCCACCAGCCACTCTCTCTCTCTCTCTCTCTCTCTCTATCATACCCGTCTCACCAACTCACATCTAGAAGAAACTCTCTCTCTCTTTCTCTCTCTATATGTATATGTATGTAAAATTTGGAGTCAAATTAAAGGTTATATAACCCCACATCAAGTCCTTTGAGGACCGGCCTTGATGCTCAAGAACCACCAAGGCTAGATTTTCACAAAGAAAAGAATCAAAAAAAGGGCAAAAGAATTATTTGGCAAAAAAAAAAAAAAAATTGTTTTTAGCTACTAAGTAGTTTTCACTTATTTTGGTTTTGGCTCAATGGGAAGGTCTCCTTGCTGTGAAAAAGCTCATACAAATAAAGGAGCGTGGACAAAAGAAGAAGATGATCGTCTCATCGCATATATAAGGGCTCACGGTGAAGGCTGCTGGCGGTCGCTTCCAAAGGCCGCCGGCCTCCTCCGCTGCGGCAAAAGCTGCCGCCTCCGGTGGATCAATTACTTAAGGCCTGACCTCAAACGTGGCAACTTCACCGATGAAGAAGATGAACTCATTATTAAACTCCACAGTCATCTTGGTAACAAGTAAGTCTATCAACAATTGGATCGACCTTATATTTTTCCTTTTTATTAAATTGTCATTGCCGATTCGATTATGTTGTCATTTCCTTAGGTGGTCTCTTATAGCTGGAAGATTACCAGGAAGAACTGATAATGAGATAAAGAATTACTGGAATACTCATATAAGAAGGAAGCTTTTGAGCCGAGGTATTGATCCCACAACCCATAGGTCAGTCAATGAGCCTGCATCAGCTAGAGAAGTTACAACAATATCATTTGCTGGTTCGACAACTAAAGAAGACGCAGAAAAGTGTATCACTGCAGGCATTAATTTAAACAACAAAGAGGAAAACAGTCCAGTTTTCGAACGGTGCCCAGATTTGAATCTTGAACTCAGAATAAGCCCTCCTTATCAACAACAAGCACAAGAGCAATTGAAAACAGGAGGGAGGACTATATCTCTGTGCTTTGCGTGCAGTTTGGGTGCACAAAACAACAAAGATTGCAGTTGTAATATTGAAGGTGGCAGCAGCAGTAATTCTGGATATGATTTTCTAGGGTTGAAAACTGTGGAATACAGAAGCCTGGAAATGAAATGAATTAAGTTTTTTTTAACATGTATTGAAGATTTAAGACTTTAAAATAGAAGAAATTAATATTTGAAGAGAAATGTAAAAGATATTTGTATTTAGTTAAATTGCTTGTTCAAGTAATTAACATCATCGTTATCTATGGTATATATAAGTAAGATGAATAGCGTGAAATGGAGAATTTCAGGATCTCTCATCACTTAGATCATCTTTCTGTTGATTGCTTTTTCTTTTAGATTCTTTTTTATTAGAGAAAAAGGATATGAACGAGGAGTCAATGGATAAGCTGTGAGAGGATGAGAAGAAAAGGAGAAGAAGTTGGTAACTTATCCCTTCCAAAATATTAAAATCTACATATATGCTCTATTAAGCACCGGTATGATAAAAAAGTCAGAATTATATATAAAAATGGGTGAAAAGTAACAGTGCCATCACTCTACCAACTTTAATGTGAGGATTAAAATTAGATATTTATTAAAATTAAAAGAAAAAATGATAAAATGCTTAAACGTGGAGTTGAAAAGTTTCGGATCATCTAAATTAGTATATTGAACTCGATTAGTACAATGCATAGCATTTTCTTTATAACCTTCACCTTACTTCCCCTTTGTTTTCCTTTCCAATGTTTCAAAATTAGGAACTATAAAAGTATTTTTCCCAGAATTAATATTATTTTAGATCGATAATGGACTCTCGACCTAATTTTGAATTTTAATATCGATCGGTAAGCGCATTGTTTTGACCGTTGTCAATAATTTGGCATTTTTGTCTTCAAATTGGAGGGATTCTATATCCAACAACATAAGGTTCCAAATAATAATGAGAAAGATTAGTAGCTAGTCTAAAAGTTTTTTTCTTTAGAATCTTCAACATTAGTCATAATAGTCTAACTTAAGCATTTTGTTTCATTTCACATCGAGATTATTCGTTATGATACCACGTAAAATAAATTTACCTATTTAGCCCTTATTTGGTGGGGATTAAAATTAAATTTTTAATAGATTTTGATAAAAAATTGTTGAAAAGTTATAAGTCCATAAAATGTGTGATTAAAATTAATTATTAACTTTGATTTAGATTAAAATTTTAATTTTTATCAAACATGACTTAATGTTTGGTATGGGCGTTTTTTTCCCATTTTTGTAAAAATGAGAATGAAAAATATAATCGTTATGAGCCCTGCACAAGAGATAAAAATTTAAATTTGGTGGATTGATATGATGAATAATGGTCATATTTTTTATTTTAATAGGAAAAGAATGAGAAACAAATGCCCCCTCAATATTAATATGATAATGAATAAAACTTTAATTTATGGTATCTTCTACCATATTATTCAATACTGTCTACTGTTTTGTACCAATCATATTATAAATAGTTAACCAAGGGCAAGGGCAAGGGCAAGGGCACGGCACAGAAGATAGGGATTTGAACGAAGGAAGCAAAAAAATTGTGGACCTTTCTCTTGTGGAAAAAGTGGATAACTTTTTCAACGTTGCACTCTTCCTTTTTTCCCCCATTTTTCAATTGTGTTAGGTAGAAACAATAGAAGCTTCCACAAGATATATTCTCCAAAAATAATTAAGTCATCTAAATTCTTTAAAACCGATTTTTTTTATCATACATTCTCTCGATAAAATAATTTCATGTGCGAATTCATTTTTTAATCAAACATTTTTCAATAAATTACTATTAAAATAAAAATCTATATTAA